GTTTGAAACGATTTAGTATACTTAGTTTGAAGAAAAGTTTCATAAACGCGACCTCTGTGTCACTACTTTCACATTATCTCAAGGTAATGTGAAAGGGTCAGTCTTTATATCCAAATGTGAAAGTATTTATACAACTTTTGTCTAAACTGAGTGCACCGAATCATTTAAAACTTCGGCACGTGATTACGAAGGCCGTAATGAAGAACGTGATGCTCGTGAAATTTAATTTGTTCAACAAAAGTTTTTCTTTATCCTAGACAAGAACCAAGATTGCATTTTTTTTTGTGAAAAATGAAATATCACGAGCATCGCGTTCTTCCTTAAGGCCTCCATAATCACGTGCTAAAGTTTCAAATGATTCGGTGTTCCCAGTTTGGAGAAGTCTTAAAAATACTTCGACGTTTTATATATATAAAATGTCCTTTCATATCACCTTAACAGTTTTAGTGCCAGACGAAGTCGTTAGAACTTGAAAAATGACGATATATCGTTGTCCGACACTAAAATGACACCTAAGTTCGTCATCAATGCTGAGCGTCAGTGTAAGAACTTTTACATGAGAAATTACATAACAATATATACACTGGATGGGTCCATTAACTAATAGTACTTTTCATTCGAATTTATGGAGGTCAGGAAAAAATGGATCGATTAGGGTACAGATGGGTCCACAATGTGGTGTTAAGAGGGAATGATACATCATCATCACACATATTTCTGTATGCGTTTTCACACCTAGGAGAGCTGCAATCAGGGAAACTTCGCGCCCAAAATGTTTGTACAGGACGTACTTTGAATAACTTGAACGGATGAAATCACAGCATTTTGAAAATATAATTTTTCCTGCGGAGCCAAATTTTTAAATTGTCGAACAAAATATGAACATTGAGTAAAAATGACAGTCAACGAATCTTATGAAGATCCTGCATGGCCTGATCGTTATTCGTTCAATATTTACGCCACTGTTATACAAAACCACTGATGAAAATAAAAAAAAGACCACGCTGAGAAAGTTGTACACTTGTCAACTTCACACTTTATCACTGGGAAGTGCTGTTACATAGCTAAATTCGACATTTTTGGGTGCGAACATGCGAAGCTGTCGACGAGGAAACTTTCCCCGCATAAAACTTCAGCGAATTTCCGCTACAAACGCTAGTTGTACGTCGTGACGTCATGCGCTGTACAGAATGCGCAGTGGATGATTGGCAGGAACAGCCAACTCCATAACCGTACTTATCGGGGCCCTTGTAGGATTTCCCAACAGCAGCAATATGTATACAGTCAAACCTGTTTTTGTGCGGTAGATAGGGACCACAGAAAAAGAACCGCACAAAAAAAATATTCAGAAACTTCATAAATAGCTATAACAAATAATTTTTCAGAACATATTAAAGAACATTTTTTTATGCGGTGGAGAGGGACCCCATAAAAAAGTGTTAGTTAGAAAATATGTCAAAGCTTTATGAAATAGCGAGAAAGTGCTTTCCAAACAAAATAAATAATTTAATTACACATGGAAATATTAAAAAAAATTTTTATTTCTCATTTTAAACATGGAGAAATTTTCAAACTGTACATAATTCAATACTACTCATCGTAGTTCAAAACGCGCACATTCTTGTGATAAACGGGTTCGAAATCGCTTTCCTCACTTGAAGATATTAGAGTTGATTTATTTTTTGTTACCATGTAGTCGGTGATAAGTTTTTGCGACGACGGTCGTTTGATCAGCTGCTTGTAAACGTCGCGATAGCCAGATATACACGATCGAAGCTCTTTTTGGAATTTCAAACTTCTTTCAGAATTGTTATCCATTTTAAGAAAATGCTTTTCCAATGTGCTGCAAAGCTGGATCCCTGCATATATTTTATCCACTGTTATAGAATCCGGTTCTTCTTGTTCGTCTCCATGACCTGTTAAGTTTTTGAGAATGTCACTATCAGTTACGGTTTCGTCCTTAATCATTTCGATAAGATCATTTTCGCTAAAAGTGTCAAAACCTTCTCCGCAGATGTTATGTGCTAGCGCAATGATTTCTGATGATAACGTGGACGTGTTTTCGGTTACATTCCTATTAATGACACATTCAGGCCAGATCGCTTTCCAGCACGAATTTAAAGTGTGTTGTTTTATTTGAGCAATTGCTGCAGTAGCGAGGAACAGAATCCCGATATTAATATACCGCATAAAAAAATCGCATAAAGTAATCGCACAAAACAAATCGCACAAAAAAAAATTGCATAAAAAAGACCGCACAAAAACAGGTTTGACTGTACGCATCTTAGAAATGCACAAAATATAAATGTCGAGTTCTTTTGTTGTGTAGTACATTAGGTATTTGTTTTCTATCGAATTTATTAGTATCAAAGTTTTTATTTTTTTTTTCATGAAGTATGACATTTGTATTGATATTTATTGCGATGCCCGGTGATTAACGCTCGATGTTACTTGTATACGACTGCTTCACATCAAATTTGCGGTACCGTAACTTCCACGGCACAGCACAATAATGGCACTTAGTATCAATGAAGCAATTTATCGTGTGCAACGTATCCATTTGAAAGGGAAGATGATATAATTATCATTTATGGAGAACGTCAACAAATTAATGCAGGGAAGGCTAAAAGATTGTGTGCTGAACGTTATGTTCACCATACGCATTCAGTATGTCAAAGATTAAAAAATGTGTGCAGAAAGTTGAAATAAACTGGAAGCTTAGTGTTTCATAAAACTGTCCGCCTAAATTAGGTAACAGATGAGGAAAATAAAGTCGACGTTCTGTTAGTTGTGCTTCAATAAGTTAAGAAGTGATATGACATATGACCAAGTCGGCAATAGGAAGACAGTAGTATTGTATTAATGTCAGTCATCCCTTTAAACACCATTCGTAAACGATGTTTGCTTATAACTTATAATGATTTATAAACTTATAAAAAAATTGAAAACGATTAACGATTTTCAATTACCTTGTGTTGTAGGTTATTGCATTTGTCTCAAACGCCGCTGTCAGACGGTTTATATGAAATTATAAAATTCCACTAGAAAAATCGAAGATGACTTTCATATCTCGAGAGAAATTCCACCGAGAAAGGTGTTATCACCGTGTAGGTCTACCTATACCGTGCTAACTCTTATTTGACACATTTTTTTCAAACCTCTATAAATTCGAAGATATTAAAGTTACTAGACGAATAGAAATATTTTTATTAGTCAACATTTTATATAAAAAAAAGTAGTCTGCGATCGTCCTTGGATTTGGCACTATTTGTACCTTTGCTAACAAAGGACCGTTTTCAGGCCTTCGCCATAGATTTTGTTCGAACTTGGTGCATGTGTAGAGGGGTTCAAATTTGTCGACACGTGTCCTTTTTTACCGACCGATATTGGGTTTAAGGGGATGTGAAAGTGGCATCCGAAAAGTCAATCGTTCGTGATACTTTCCTCTGAAGAGGGTGTACTAATTTATTTCAAATTTTATCACATGCATAAGGAGCCCCTAAGATAGGTTCTGAAAGTCCGAAAATTTCAAGTATTATACAAAATTTTGAAAATAGATATAAACAAATTATCTTCAAACTGAATTCTCATGGGCGTGAGGACCTTCCTCATAGCCTCTATATTCACATTGTAAGGTTTAAAACGATTAGGTACACCCAATTTGGAGATAAGTTTCATAAACGAAACCTCTGTGACGTCACTTTCACATCACTTTAAAGAGATAAATACAGACTCCCATCTGCATTTTTTCATTTTATCATATACCGTGCAAACGGTGCATATAAAAAAAAGTTCTCATCAAAAGTTGTGCATTCTTGCGTGTTTTTCTTGATAGTGAAATAGAATAATTAATTTACTTCATAGTTGTTTAATGAATTACAAACAATGGTAAAATCTGTCTATTATTTTAATATATTTCAATAACACGAGCTAATTGAGATTTTTTATCTAAAAAGAAATTAAAGAACTCGAAAAATAAGTGAATACATGTCTGTGAGTGTGTGTCTGAAAGTGTTTTATTGTATTTTATGAGTACATAGTATCATTTTTGTATACAAGTTATTCTCCCATAATCATAATAGTTTGGGAGATATAACGTTTTCCATTTTCAGTTTTAAAAAAGGTTTTCGCCCCCCAAATTGGGTTTTTCAAGAAAAGCAAAGACATGTATTCACTTATTTTTCTAGTTTCTTAATTTCTTTTTGGATAAAAAAACCTCAATTCGCTCGTGTTATCAAAATATATTAAAATAATAAGTAGATTTTACAATATTTTGTAATTTATTAAACTATGAAGAAAATTAATTATTCTATTTCACTATTAAGAAAAACACACAAGAGTGTACAACTTTTGATCAGGAATTTTTTTTTTATTTGCATCGTTTGTAGCGTTTATAACCATATATAAAAATGCAGATTTTCTGAAGGATGTTTTTTTTTTAAACCGTATATGTGTAAAAATTGTGAAAAAGATACAAAAGGGAGGCCTGGAATCGTTTCCTTATAAAAACGGTGTTGATAACAGAATTCCAATTTTCATCTTAATTCGTGACATTGAATTGACAGGTAGAAATATTTATTAATTTCCGCGTATCGTTGAATATTCTAGTCCTGTGTACGTAGATAGTACGGCAGATATACAGATTACAACGAAACGAAATTTTTGTAATTTATTAAACAACTATGAAGAAAATTAATTATTCTATTTCACTATTAAGAAAAACACAGAAGAGTGCACAACTTTTGATCAGGAATTTTTTTTTTATATGCATCGTTTGTAGCGTTTATGACCAAATATAAAAATGCAGATTTTCTGAAGGAGGATGTGTTCTTTTTAAACCGTATATGTGTAAAAATTGTGAAAAAGATCCAAAAGGGAGGCCTGGAATCGTTTCCTTATAAAAACGGTCTTGATAATAGAATTCCAATTTTTATCTTAATTCGTGACATTTAATTGACAGGTAGAAATATTTATTAATTTTAAAAAATTGAATATTCTAGTCCTGTGTACGTAGACAGTACGGCAGATATACAGATTACAACGAAACGGTTGCTGTGGGGGAAGTGCATTAATTCTGGACAGACGTGTATCGCACCTGACTATGTATTATGTACTCCACAAGTGCAAAATGAAATAGTTGAAGAGGCAGCCAAAATTTTGAAGGAGTGGTATGGCGATGATATTAAGCAGAGTCCGGATTTATGCCGTATTGTAACGGACAATCATTACCAGTCAGTACTTTAATACCACTTGTTATAAATGTTTGAACTTTGTATACGCAATTATTTTTCTGTACAGCTGTATATAATGTTGCTTTTAGACGATTGGCAAATTATTTAACAAATAGCGGAAAGGTTGCTGTTGGAGGTGATACTGATCCTGCAGAAAAATATATAGGTCCGACCATTCTTGTCGATGTTAAACCTACAGATCCTATTATGCAGGACGAGATTTTTGGACCAATTTTACCTATTGTCACAGTTAACAATGCCTACGAAGCGATAAAGTTTATTAACCAACGGTGAGTATGTAAATAAAGTACAGCGGCTCCGGGTATGAAATATTTGTATTGTCGCGTAAACAATTATTCTTTACACATTCTAATAGCCACGAAGATAAATAATCTCCGGTACTTACCATAGCATATGTACATGATTAAGTTCATTGTTACACACATTTCTTGCAAAGATCTGCATCACTTTAAGTCTATAGATGCAAATCCGAAAATCTGAACTGAAAGTACTAAAATATTGGAATCACGTGTGTCGTGCAAGTAAAATTTGGATTTAAATTGAGCTAAAGATAATAAAAAGGAATAATATTGAAGGGTTTAAGGTGAAGTGAAACCCCCCTCAAATCATTTGATTTGAATAAAATACTTTTTTTTAAAGGGTATTGGACCAAACTGTCCGAAACTTTAACGCGTGACTCGTGATCATCTAAAAATTGTCCACACACATTTAAAATTTGGATTTTCAACAAAATTTGTTGACAGCCTAGACCAGAACCAAAATGGCGACCAGCTCTCATATTTCGATCGACATACCAGTATTAAAGGCTGTGATATGAGAAGTAAAGGTGTCAGGACAATTGTATAACAATTTAGAACACTCTCGTAATCGAGAAACTCGCATTTGAACGGAATAAAGTAAAAAAAAAAGTGTCTTATGCGCTCCTGCTAAAACGAAGGTAACACGCGGTCTCTATGAAAAAATTTAGTTGACTAAAATCACAGATGGCGCAGGATGGCACTCTACGGTCAATTACGGCATAGAACCCAGGATATTTCTGGAGGTTTACTCCGATTTCTTTATAATAACTGTACGGAAACGATATATGGGGTACGCCATTTAATACAATACCCAATGGGTGCATTCGGAGGAGAAAAGCGGTTACCGATGAGTTGGGAACATGTTGCGATTTTCTGCTGAATGAACTTTTCAGTGATCACAATATGGCGGCATCCAGTGTTGTGTAACCTAACCTCCTTATATCACTGACTACTAATATAATTATATTAATTATATGAATTATATTAGCAGTCAGTGCTTACAGTATATGTACGTCGTGTATTATTTCAGTTACTTCATTACCTGAAGGATTTTGCACCTTTTCGTTACATACACCTGCAACTTCTATAGATGATATATTTTTAGAAAAATATTCGTAACAGAACATAACGTCTGAAAAAAAAACACTCACATGTTCATACTAACTTAATTATTTATTTATTATTAGTTTTTTGGTCTATATTAGGAAGATAAAATACATTAGATTAAGTATACATTTCAAAATAACGTACCATTTCTTATCATTTTATGCACTTCTGCACTCTCTACTACATCGTACTGAAGACCGTTTACTTCATACATTTCACTGTAATAATTGATTTCATTTGCCATCCTTGCTTCTTTAACTTGAATCTACACGGTTTGAATTTGATTTACCTAACACGTTGAGCGTAGGTAGCGTAGAAAATTTGTGATGCATAAAATGGCGTCTGATCAGTAAACATGTTGAGTGAACGTACACCTATTCAGCAGATGAGCGCTAACCGATCACTCAACAGTTGTCTCCTCTGAATGCACCCAATATAATTCGACACGGTTGTCGATGTAAATACGAACGTCGGCAACGTAGGTATTTAGAAAAATCTTTTTTACCGACGTCGACCAAGTTCCTCGACGTGTTTCACTTCACCTTAAGAATGCTTTCAAGGTATTGATTTTAAAATGCGCGTATAATTTATTCCGACCATCTACTCGAAATAGCCCGTAACAATGAGTTTTCCATACCTAGTGAAACCCCCCTCACAATGTACATATTTACCAAGGACAAAGGAGTACAAAACTTGATGTTAAGTCAAACTCGTAGCGGTGCGGTATGTGTCAACGATACGATAATGCAGTACGCCGGTGAGTTCGGGACTCAAAAATCAATCGGAAGATTTCCCGTCGATTTCCGACAACAACTGATTTCCATAGCTCGTTGTCATTGCTTTAAATTCTTAGTATATGTATATATACATATTTTGCACGGGTGTAGGGTTTTATCTGCTCTGCGTACGTTTAGCAATTTCATTAGGAATGGATGTTTTCATATGCAGTGAATATCAGTGCATTGAACACATACTTTGAAATGTAGTAACCCACCAAACACGGTTACGTAACGATAATATAACCGTTACATAACATTCATAACATGTAATGTAACATACATATCACATATAAGTAAGATTTGTATTATTATTTCCTACGCAACTATATAACATTTATAAAACGAATAATGTATATATAACATATCGGTATACGTGGTTTATAAGTGTATAACATATGGTGGGAAGTTGTCCATTATTTGTTAAACTGCTCATAAATTTACATAGTCATTATAAATCTTTTGACAAGACTTAGATAAATAGTTTACCGAGTAATCTACTACTTTTTCATAATAATAGTTTGTATTCATGGTCAGTATATATTCACTGCATATGAAGGTACTATCCTGTAAATATATTGCTTTCGTAGTAATTTGAAATAAAGACCGCTTTGTTTGGAAATATGCAGCACGAATATTGGTACCGGAAATCAGCTTGTATCAAGCTTTTCTAACGAATCCTCGCCATGTACTGCAAAGTATCTTTGCCAAGGGGTGTATATTAAATGTCTTCAAGTATTAGGCATATGATACATGTAGTTTTTTAGGAGCCTAATTTTATGTAGGCATGTAGATGCTTAATCATTTTAATAATTTAACCTGGTGAAAGTTAGAGTATAATCTTATAATACCGTTAACATTTTTAGCGTGACCTTTTAGGACTTTCCTATGTAATAATTACTTCTTCCCGTTTTTGTATCTATCCAATGTAATAAGTTCATTTTTAATTAGTCCAATTGAAGAGAGTACCTGTATTATTAGGTTTACATTTTTAGCGTGACCTTTTAGGATTTTTCTATGTTATAATTATTTCTTCCCTTTTTTGTTTCTATCCAATGTAATAAGTTCATTTTTAATTAGTCAAATTCAAGAAAGTACCTGTATTATTAAGTACTTTCTGTCTTAATTCAGCTAAATACACTTAGGATGTTCAGGAGCTCGTGAATATGTTTATCGCTTAATATGAATTAGAACATTGTAAATAGTTGCAAGTGTGTAATGGTATTTGGTACAACTTAATGTTGTCGTGTTTCCATGGATACAATTTGAGTATATATAGCTTAAATTCCTATATTACCCCATAGCATGTACTACATGTTGTGCATTTTACGTGTAACCGTAATACATTAGAATTGTATAACTTTGTCTAATATGTATGGTGCAGGGAGAAGCCATTAGCATTGTACATATTTAGTAATGATGTTGAGGAGCAGTCTCTTATCATCCGAAGCACAATTAGTGGTGGGGTCACCATTAATGACGTAATGATGCATGCTACAGGTACTTATTTTCCTTGTAAACTAATATACGTTTTAATTGTTTCGTCTCCCTCCGCTGTTGGCAAAAATGTGTTTTGTATTCGTGTTTCTCAATGTGTTTTTTTGTCTCATTTCCTCTATTTTATAGAATTTATTTTGTACGCTTGGCTTATTGTCAGTGAACTCCTTGTGGACATTTATTTAGAAAGTATTAGAGTTTTAAACTCTTACATAATACGTCGTCCATGCGATTACATACAAGGAAACACGCTGGTAAAAATTAATCCGGTAATTTTCGAAAAGACCTGTTTATTGTTTTTAATGGAAATCCTCTGTACCACATTTGTGAAACGAACTTCATGAATTTGGTACTTAGTATTATATGTTGAAAGAATTCTGCCTGGATGAGGCCCGGTTCTGTCGAGGAATCCAAACTCTAGGAAAGTGAGCTCGATGCAATTCACTTACTCTTGTAAATAGTATAAATGGTAATATAATGTTTGTAAGGTGGAAGGTAACAAATTAGTAACATAATGTTTATACTTTCAAGGAGGGTGTAGAGCTCGATGCAATTCACTTACTCTTGTAAATAGTATGAATGGTAATATAATGTTTGTTTGTAAGGTGGAAGGTAACAAATTAGTAACATAATGTTCATACTTTCAAGGAGGGTGTAGAGGTACAGCTTGATAATTCCTATGCTTACTGTAGTTTGTGCATATTGTTAGAGCTTGTATATAATGCGTTATATATAACCATGTCAGGAATCAATAATCGTGATATAAGTATATATTATTATATGTATGCGATAATGGCATTAATTTTTTTTCATCTAGTTGACTCTTTACCTTTTGGTGGAGTTGGATTTTCTGGAATGGGAGCTTATCACGGGCGAGACACTTACGACACTTTTGTACACAGGAAAGGATGTCTCCTTAAAACGTTCAACAAAGTCGGAGAATCGATATCATCGTGAGTATAATTTCGACACAGGTTTTTATTATGTCTTGTCAATGCTAAAAACACTGCAAATTAAAGTCACAGAAACACGGGCAGTGGCACACTCATACAAATTATTTTCTAATACTATTAAATGAGAACGTCACTCACAAAACAGGTCGTTTGATCAGCTTTATTTATTTCATATTTTTAGGTGTCGCTACCCTCCCTATACCGAGAGGAAGTTAAAGTTACTGACATCTTTGATGGCGAAAAGGCCGGATATTCCGGGAATAAAGTATTTGCCTCATTTATTAATGTTCGGCTTGGGTGTGCTTGTCACCGTTGGTTTGAAAGCCGCCTTGAAGGTACCTAAGAAACTTAACTCCTGAAACCCATTTGGCAGGTTAAGCTTTCACTCACCTCACACTCACAATGGTATTATCACACACCCTATAAAGCAGATTCGCACTATGTCATATTTTACATAAGTTGCAGGCATTGTGAAATGTAAAGTACACGGTAATCTTTGCCATTTTATTTAACGCACATATCGATGTTGTATTTATTGCAACTTTGTTGAATCGTGATTAATACCACTATATGGTATGAAGGGGGAATGGTACTACTCGGCGAACGTCGGGTTGACTATGCTGCCGCGTAGCGGCAAGTAGTGGAAATACTTGTGACGTTGCAAGCGCCGTTGCTGTGCCGTGTAGTGGCATTCACTGTTCCGCAGTCATATCCCAGTAATGTCGAGTGTTACACTTATCGGGCGTTGAGACTCGATAAAAATATCATACTTCATATAAGGGAATAAAGACTTTGTTACGATGAAATTCTATAAGAAATAGATATCTATTTCAGATACAGTAATGTCGAGTGTTACACTTATTGGGCGTTGAGACTCGATAAAAATATACTTCATATAAGGGAATAAAGACTTTGTTACGAAGAAATTCGATAAGAAATATATATCTATGGTGCGACACTACGAAAGAACTCGACATTTGCAAGAACTGGGACACTTACGTATTGTGTTTAATGGGACATTTTCAGTTAACTATATACTAACTGGATAGCTGATATCCTACAAAATGGCGTGCCGTTTTGGAGCCACTTAGTTATGTGCACATTAACTAATATTGTACTATTTGCTTTCTCTGCATGGTCCTGGTTTGATTTTCATTAGTAATTCTGTGTAACAGTGTCGTAAGTGTTGAACGAGTAACGACAGAGGCCATGCAGGACAATCATGGTAGATTCGTAGGCTGCCAGTACAAAGTTTTACTTATTTCTTATATATTTTTTTCTTAAAAATAAATAAAAAATCTGACTCTGCAGGGATAATTATATTTTCAGAAGGCTCCCATTCAAGTTATTCAAAGAATATCTAGTAAAAATATGGTTGGATACGAAGTTTCCTTGCTTCCACCTCTCATTGGTGTGAAAACAGAAAAAAATGATGTACCATTCCCCCTTAAGAGATTCTTCCAGCTGTCTAACACATGCGTATACACACGCACACGCGCGCGCACACATGTAAAGATGTACGTTATCGTGTACAAAAATGTATTACAAATACTGTTGCTACTTCCCGAGTAACATCACGCACAAGAAGTATAACAATAGCCCGTTAAGTTTTACCGAATGTTCTTCCACGTTTTAAAATCATTTATAATTTTATAAGCGTGCATTGAAACGTAAAATACTCCGTACGCAATCCTGTTATCATTACATAGATGATTAAAGGTTAATGAGATTACCATGTATTCGGAGGACCTGTAATATCATGGAAAGATAAAATTGGGTTTAAAGAAATTAACAATTGTAACGACCCTCACTTAACACAATGTTTTCTTATGTTCAGTATCTAAAAAAAATTTTGAATTGATGCTGTAATGGTTAAGACAATAAAGGTGCAATTTATGACTATATTTCTCATTTTCCCTTGTTTCTCAAAATGCACGTTCCTTGTACATCACGTTTGCAAACAGAAAAAGAAGTTGGTTTTCAATGATAGACCTGTTTCTTAGATTTCATTTGTTGCACTGCTACCATCATTTTACGTTTCTACGTTTGTTATGTTAGTACATATATTAAATTTGAATGAATAGAGAAACATAGTTTCTTTTATCGTTTCATGCTTTGCTAGTGTGTATTCTTAGAGATGTTACCTGCAACGTGTCTTATAAAACATGATTTGCGGTTTGAATATGAATAATTTTGTTACTTATACTTACTGTACTGTTATTTATATTCCAAAAGATGAAAAATGTACACATAGAGGAACAGTGATATCGGAAGAACCAACACGTACTTTAGAGGCTGTAAATATTTATTAGAAAATAACTCTTACATGTCTATTTTTGAAGATCACTATTATCTAGATTTTTTAATGCGGGAGGATCGACTGCAAATTTATATTTTTTGTTTTAATCTAATTTAATGTAATTCTCAAGTTTTCATTCATGCCTAAGAATATTGAATTCATTTCATGAATGTGCACAATTTGTGGATTCGCAATTCCTTATGGCGTTGGCATAATACGTACGGTTTATACATAAATTTGAAGGACTCACATACAAAAATAATTGTTCGCAGGAAATGGATCAGGAGGACCAGATGTAGGACACATCGGTAAAAAGAGCAACGATGTACATCACGAAATATCGTCTTAAATATACCACTATTTTCTGAAATATATCACCATTATTCAATCGCAGTCTGACTTTAGTAAAATTCTAAGCGTCCACACTGATAATAATCCACTTAAACAATATGTATTATTTTACGTTTTTTATGAAACATTGATTTTGCCAGGATGTCGCTTGTCGCATCGACATCTACAACAATTATATCGGTGGTAAATGTTTAAGCATAAGTCAAACGGCCGTTACGTAATCACATTAAAGTAGAGCAAAGTTGTTTGAAGTGCCTTAAATTTAAACAAAAAATATGCCAAGATTTTTACCTAATACAGAAAAGTCAATACATTGCCAAAGAATTCAGAGGTTCTGTAAAAGCCTAAATTTTCTGTTGGCACTTGGCGTTCTAAAGGTTGACTAATAAATCAGGAGTGGGGGTGAAAAAGGTCATACGCGTTAGCCAACGGCACCTTAAATATGAAAGGAAGAGAAACGTGAATAGAAATGTGAGCATTGTGAGTGAGATAAAGAACGAACGTAGTCTGATATATACATATATTGCCATAAGAATAAGAGAGATGAAGAGACGATTACAGCGCAGCCATCGGTTGGCTACCGTACTAATATCAAACGTCCGTATCTTTTTAAGCTTTTATGCAGACTTCTGAATACTTTGGCAATGTACTCGAGAAATTCAAATGTTTCTAGTAATTGAACAGTATTCCGGGATCGTATACCCTATTATGTACAGAATATCTCGTATTGTTTAATTAATATTCTAGAGGAAGAAAGGGTGAACATTTTAAGTAAAAGTTTCTTTTGCACTTTGGGCTCAGATTATTATTTAACGCATTATTAATTAAAGTTAGCCGATACCACATCGTGGAGCCCCTCGCAATGGTTGTACATTTGCTCGTTAAAAGTTCAGTTTAATTTCTTGAAGTATTTATTTTGGAGTACTACATATTTGACGAATTTATTAATTAACCATTCAATGAATTAATCAGCGAATTGAGTAATTCGCAGGGCAATTAATGAATCAATCAGTAATTGATTAATTAATGATCCATCAATCAGTAATTGATTAATTAATGATCCATCAATCAATTTTGTAATTAATGATTTAATAATTAATTTTCCAAAATTAATGCATACGTCGATAATGTTTCTCAGGTTCTCAATTATCTGATCAATTTATAACAGTTTCTGTTCTGATTCATTTTTTATTTATTCATTCATTTATCAATTTATTTATTTATGCGTCAATTTATTAAATAATAAACAAAGTAAAATGAAATTTCAACCAGAGGAATGTACAGCAAGCACGAGGAACCCCCTCCCAACATTGATTGTTAATAACTCAGTAAACAATGGTCTCAGCCCAAATAGAGAACGACATTTTAGTTAAAAATTCCGACTTCTAAAAGATTACTTAATCAATACAGGATATCCTGTATAATTGTGTAATATATTGTATTGTATACGATCGTAAAATATATCTTGCTTTATTACATCAAAAAAGTACCAAAAAGGCGAAAAAAGTTGTACATTTACTTCTGGGATTACTGCAAATATATGTTATTAGTATTGTTCTTTAAAAGTTGTTTATCGATTGTTATATATATGATTTGTATAATAAATTTTTATTAAATGTCGACCCTTTATGTATTTAATTCTTCTTAACTCTTGACCGGAAGTTGAAAATTTACCCTCTTTAAGTAAATTGAGTCAATTTGACCCAACGCTATATATGTACAGTGAACAAAGGCACAAACAAGACAAAATATTGCTTAAGTCAACTTAATTCTTCGTTTATACCATGCAACATATTAATTTAATTACTTTATCCATTTAAAAACATAATAATTCTACGACGTTTATTTTTTCTCTTTACATGATGCTCGTAAAATGTGTGGTGTCTGGTAACCTTTGTAGATAAATTTTGTGCTCCTTGCATTTACTTATGTTACGAGGTTATCTTTATTTCCTCAGAATAGAGAGGCGCGCATTACATTAAGTATGAGTCAGTTGCCGGAGGATAAATGTCAAATTCGAAGCAACGATAGTGTCACCTGGTTACCTCGGATAAATAACAATGAGTGGAGCGATCATCGAGAAATGTTTTGGCCATACCGCACGCCTTCCGCATTGAACTGCACTCTAAACCAAAACACGGGCCTACTCATCCATCAATATAGTGATTTCCGGATCACGCCCAGTCAGTCCATAGGAACAAAAATCCATAAACAAGGAACTTGGACCCTCTCTCCACTGACATCTCAAGTTTAAGGTGAAGTGAAACACGTCGAGGAACTTGATCGACGTCGATAAAGAAGATTTTACTAAATGCCCACGCTGCCGACGTTCGTTTTTATATTGACAGCTGTGTCGAATTATATTGGATATTGTACCAAATGGCATACTCCACCTGTCGTTTTCGTACAATAAATATCAAGAAATCGAAGTAAAACTCCAGAAATCCTTTGGATTCATGCTTTCCGGGGCCCTAATTGACTGCAGAGGGACCCCTTGCGTCATCTGTGATTCCCATGTCAATTAAATTTTCACTTCAAGACCTCGTATTCTCATCGCTTTAGCATAGAAGCGCATACAACACTTTTTTTTGCCTTTATTCCGTTCAAATGCGAGTTTATCAATTACCAGAGTGTTCTAAATTGTCATTAAATTGTCCTGACTCTTTCGTTTCTCATATCCTCCTTCTATGCTAAAGCGATGAGAATACGAGGTCTCGGAGTGAAAATTTAATTGACCCGGGAATCACAGATGGCGCAGGGGGTCCCTCTGCGGTCAACTAGGGCCCCAGAAAGCATGAATCCAGAGGATTTCTGGAGTTTTACTTCGATTTCTTTATAATTATTGTACGAAAACGATAGGTGGAGTATGCCACTTGGTACAATACCCAATATAATTCGACACAGCTGTCAATATAAAAATGAACATCGGCAACGTAGACATTTAGAATAATCTTCTTTATCGACGTCGATCAAGTTCCTCGACGTGTTTCACTTCACCTTAATAGCCTTCTGTATGTGTGCAGTTTCAAATGGATGAAACCTTTTTAAATGCTTTTCAAGTTTCCTGCATGGTACCCCGAAAACCGAAATTGAACAAATTAAATTTCCTATTGCTTGAGTATTTGTCATTGGTATTTATTTCTTACTGATGTGTCATAAACGCTTTTGTAATAATGGTATACATGGCACGATTATGTTTACGGGTTTTGTATGAAACTATTTCTGCAGAAAAAGTTGTCATGTCAAAATATGTCAATAATTGTCATGCCTAGCAGATTTGTTTTATAAAACTAGACTCATTTTGGTAGCCCCCAAAGGTATTTTCCCGAATCGACATTCTTGGCCTCATCAGGTCTTTAACAGTGAGAAAAAATTATTTCCGATATAGAAATTATTTCTTTCAATGAAGGTAAAGAAATTTTAGCATAAAATCAAAGAAATGAAATTTTCACTGTAAAAATGCTGAATATTTAACTGTTTAATGCATTGCTTTAATCGAATACGTCATATCTTAAAATAATAAAGTATGGGAATCGTAACTATGTTTCATTTTTTTAACTCCATTCAAAAAAATATTTTGCTTCAATGAGAAAAATTCGTTTATTCAGACATTCTTTTCTTAATGCAATGAAATATGTCTTCATATCTAAAAAACCATTTCTTTCAGCAGATTGAATAAAATATTCCGCCAAGTTACGGGTCCCTGATTAGATCGTGGTAAATTGTTTCTAAAAAAAAAACGCATTTGTTGCAAAATAAATGATACTTTTTAAAATTATTCCACCTACATTTGAATGACGTCTTACATACGTATAAAATACATATAATATCATATATGAAAAAGTCTAATATACGGCCCTTAAATTTTTGAAAATAGATAGGGTAAGTCCGGGATATATGGACCACCCGTACAGACCCGTATAGACCCGTATAGACGGACTAGTCGAATATTTGGCTGGGGTGTCACAGCAGCGCTGCAGTCGTTGTCTGAAGTTGTTCTTCTTGAGTAGACGGAACCACGCTTAGTTTTGCACATGAGTTTCATGCGTATTTTAGAAGAAAACTTTGTTTATTTCTTTTGGTGAGTTGAAAAATATTTTATACTGGATTTATTTGATATGGGGTTAAGTTAGTTTAAATGATTTCGACGTAAGATCAATCCTATAACTCAAGTTTATACTTGAGTACAATCTTGACCTAAAATGGCATGCCAGTAGCGTTGTTTGTCTGGACGGGAAACTGGTCCATCTATCCCCGACAATTGGGATAGATGGACTACTTGAAAAAACCTGGGATAGGCGGACTATATCTCCTATTAGGGCTTTACTTTCTATATAAATGGATATATGGATGAATGGATGGATGGATATATGGATGGATGGATGGATGGATAAATGGAAATGGAATGGAAATGGAAAGAAGATGACTGCAGAATGATTAAATGTTTCGAACCATGTAAATATAAATCAGACTACCTATATTTTCTAAGTATATTGACTATCAAATTTACTTATCCTTTTTCAAATAGTTTATAACTCTATATTAATCACTTTTCAAGCAGTTTATAACTTTATACTTTGAAATAAACAATGTTTATACCTTTGATAACATGTATTTCTTGTGTTACACCCTGATTTAGTAACGTATACCACAGGTCCATCAATCCCTAGGAGGTGGTCCATCTAACCCGAGTAACCCCGGGATAGATGGATTACCGAGTAAAAAAAAAAGAAAAAATCATAACTTCAAGTGTGATTAGTGTAACAGCTGTAGAAGTGCTTACAATTGTTCAAGGTCATATATACATATTATAAAAAAATATACCAAATCCTAGACATTGCGAAGTTTCAGAAAAAATGACTTTAAAAAAACATGGTCCAACTATCCCGGACTTACCCTATCCTACCTGTTGAAACTTTTATATATCTTTATTATACGTACATACGTTCTACGTTAGATGTCTTATATACGTCTATCATATATCTTGTCTACGTATAATATACATACTTTTCCATGCATATTATATAAATGTTGAATGTTCAAAAATACGTGTACTGTCTGTAGACGGCGCGGACATTTGTGTATGCCCCAGCACATTCCGTATACTTTTGTATACATCTATTACACATACGTATGTTTATGCCAAATATCTTATATACGTATACCATAGGTACTTGTTCCGTGTGGGTGCTGTATCCCGAAAATTGCCATATCGACATAGCTTTCCGATGTCATCACGAAGGGAGTTCCGACTGCGAGAGCCTCGACGAAGTCATCACCGGTGTGCCCTAACCAGCTCAGAGGGCTTCATTGTGATCGCTAATGATTGTCCCATCCCCGTACCGTAAAGCCGATTCTCGATATAATTCTAATGGTTTCCTGCATATTGTCAATGCGTCCATTCGCGTGGTCCGATGCATATATATAATTCACGATCGTTTTCATGCGTACGCCGCTTCTCGAGTGAGTTCCGTGTAATAGGATCCTCCGTCGACCGCGTACTAGTTCCTTTTCGGCCCCGGCCATCTTTTTCGTAACCGCGTGGCGAATTCATTTTCACGCCCCCCTTTTCGAGTAAACTTGGTAATAGGTAGCGTCCCGCTTTTTGTCGAAAGTATAGTCGGGAAGTGCACCGTCGCATCGTCCACGTGAGCGTTTGTTGCTGTCCTAGAGGCGTAAATCTGGGACCTCGCGATTTGCAATTAAACTCGCGAACACGACGATAACGTGACGACCGTACGCCAACTTAAGGTGAAGTGAAACATCCTTCAAATCAGTCGATTCGAATACAACACTTTTTTTTAAGGGTATTGGACCAAACTGTCCGAAGGTTTGACACATCACTCCTGATCATCTAAGAATTGTCCTGATACATTCAAAATTTGGATTTTTCAAAAAACTTTTTTAACTCAGTCCAGACCAGAACCAAAATGGCGTCGAGCTCTGATATTTCGATCAATATACAATTATCGAAGGTTTTGATATGAGAATCGAAAGGGTCAGGACAATTTTACGACAATTTAGAACACTCTGGTAATCGATAAACTCGCATTTGAACGGGATAAAGGCAAAAAAAGTGTTGTATGCGCTTCTTTGCTAAAACGATGGTAATACGAGGTCTCGGAGTGAAGATTTAATTGACCTGGAAATCACAGATGGCGCAGGGGGTCTCTCCGCAGTCAAATAGGGCCCCAGAAGGCATGAATCCAGAGGATTTCTGAAGGTTTACTTCGATTTCTTTATAATTATTGTACGAAAACGACAGGTGGAATATGCCACTTAGTACAATACACAATATAATTCGACACAGCTGTCAATATAAAAACGAACATCGGCAACGTAGGCATTTAGAAAAATCTTCTTTATCGACGTTGATCAAGTTCCTCGACGTGTTTCACTTCACCTTAACACGGTGATTGCCGCGCGCATTTTACGTGTTTGCCTATGTCGCCAACATGAATTTTTTTGTATGTGTCGCCGGTCACCGGTGGCCTCCATGGTAGTCAACGTGTTAACGGTGTTCACCACCAAAGTGGGGACGATGACATCGACCGCTAGATGGCATTAGCATCGAATTCGGTGGGAGGTGACTGATGCTCTTTCTCACTTGGATGAAAGAGATGAAACGTGTTATGGGCGGAGCGTAGACGACGCGGCAGCAATGCGTGCGTGCATCTTGCACATATACTACACAACTAAAAGCATCTATAAACAAGTAATTTTTATTTTAAAGCTTATGCCTTTTCATGCAAGATAGACACTCATGGCGTTACATTTACTAACCTCTTAGCCGAACAAATTGATGTTAATATGCCCGGTAATGCTTCGACATCTATAGTCATAATTTTATATGGTACAAATTTGCTCGTCGATGGTCCAATGACTTGTGCAGGTGTTATTACTTTTTCTGCAGCAATACTTGTTATAGTGTCTTTAATAACACTTGCATATTTACTATTTTTTGTTAATAATAGAGTTGGCACTGCATTTTTCCTCAGGATTGGCTTTCGTGTGACAGGTATAAAGCATTCGGATGAAAAATGAAGCCAGCAAACTCTATACATATGATGCAGTTTCCTCCCCTCGATATTCTTCAAAGCTTCATTTCCGATAGCTTCTAGCCAGGTCTTCAACATCTCTGGATTAGTTGGGAAGCGATGGCTGGATTTGAACGGTTTCTTTGATGGACATCCTGGGACGACACATCTTGAACAGGATATCGTATTCTCCATGGTTATCTGCAATGAGGATTCAAATGAGTCTTACATTTAATCATTATAGAAAAAGACAATCTTTCCCTGTATCGATATAATTTTTGACGTACAAATCTATCTTAAAATCCACGTTCATTTAAATGAGTCGGTTCATTTGGCCATAATGTAAATAGTCAATCTTACTCTGTACCGATATTGTTTTCGATGTACAAATCTATCTTAAAATCTACGTTGTCTGCGGCAGATGTACTAATCAATATTGTTTTATATAAAATGACTTTAAAAAAACATGGTCCAACTATCCCGGACTTACCCTATCCTACCTGTTGAAACTTTTATATATCTTTATTATACGTACATACGTTCTACGTTAGATGTCTTATATACGTCTATCATATATCTTGTCTACGTATAATATACATACTTTTCCATGCATATTATATAAATGTTGAATGTTCAAAAATACGTGTACTGTCTGTAGACGGCGCGGACATTTGTGTATGCCCCAGCACATTCCGTATACTTTTGTATACATCTATTACACATACGTATGTTTATGCCAAATATCTTATATACGTATACCATAGGTACTTGTTCCGTGTGGGTGCTGTATCCCGAAAATTGCCATATCGACATAGCTTTCCGATGTCATCACGAAGGGAGTTCCGACTGCGAGAGCCTCGACGAAGTCATCACCGGTGTGCCCTAACCAGCTCAGAGGGCTTCATTGTGATCGCTAATGATTGTCCCATCCCCGTACCGTAAAGCCGATTCTCGATATAATTCTAATGGTTTCCTGCATATTGTCAATGCGTCCATTCGCGTGGTCCGATGCATATATATAATTCACGATCGTTTTCATGCGTACGCCGCTTCTCGAGTGAGTTCCGTGTAATAGGATCCTCCGTCGACCGCGTACTAGTTCCTTTTCGGCCCCGGCCATCTTTTTCGTAACCGCGTGGCGAATTCATTTTCACGCCCCCCTTTTCGAGTAAACTTGGTAATAGGTAGCGTCCCGCTTTTTGTCGAAAGTATAGTCGGGAAGTGCACCGTCGCATCGTCCACGTGAGCGTTTGTTGCTGTCCTAGAGGCGTAAATCTGGGACCTCGCGATTTGCAATTAAACTCGCGAACACGACGATAACGTGACGACCGTACGCCAACTTAAGGTGAAGTGAAACATCCTTCAAATCAGTCGATTCGAATACAACACTTTTTTTTAAGGGTATTGGACCAAACTGTCCGAAGGTTTGACACATCACTCCTGATCATCTAAGAATTGTCCTGATACATTCAAAATTTGGATTTTTCAAAAAACTTTTTTAACTCAGTCCAGACCAGAACCAAAATGGCGTCGAGCTCTGATATTTCGATCAATATACAATTATCGAAGGTTTTGATATGAGAATCGAAAGGGTCAGGACAATTTTACGACAATTTAGAACACTCTGGTAATCGATAA